AATCTGAAGCATGGTCCCGCTAGCAGAAGGCACGATGCAGGAGAACAGCCGAGACAAGATGCCAGTCAAACACATGGTATCATTTAGAAATTTCAGCCCACAAATTGCATGCTTTTGGACTGTGGGAGGAAACTGATGTACCCAGAAGCAACCCCCGCAATATAGAAGAACATGTGGGATTTCCATCAGTGTGACCAAATCAGCCTCTGTAACGCCTTACACAGGAATTCATACCTAGGAACATACTGTCAGCTATGTATTCAGCATGAAGAAATACCTTTGGTACCCATCTTCCAAAAACTTTTAAAGATTGTGGTCAAAAGTTCCAAAAAGTATTCAGAGCATGAATGTAATGACCATTACAAAGAAGAATAACAACAAACATATGATTCTAAATGAGTATTACAAGCATATGAATGTATTATTCTGTTTTTTTATTGTTATTTTAAAAATGTATTGGTTTTATATTACTCTTATTTTGGAGTAACTTTTTAAATTATTCTCTGAATATCTGCATTCTATGTGGGGCAGAGCGGCGCTGATCAGCTGCGAAGTGAGGGGGTGGGCCGGCGGAGCACAGGGTCGGGGGTGACGCCCACACCATATGCCCAGCTCCGGGGGAAAGCAAAGCAATTACTGAAACCCCCCTTCATCCCAATTATGAAGCAAATTAAGAACGAAATGGCAACTGTGAGCATGAACTCATACTAGAGATTGTAATGTGTATCACAATTCAGCATTAAAGGTTACACCTTTATAATGCTGAACAGAACAATATTTCAACTGTAACATATGGCTGATACGTTGCAAATTAGCCACTATTACATACACAAGGCACCTATACAAAAGGCACAATGATCAGCCGTAACATTAGAACCACCTGCCTCATATCGTGTAGGACCCCTCCTGCCACCAAAACAGCTCTGGCTTATTGAAGCACGGAGTCCACAAGACCTCTGAAGGTCTCCTATGGTAGCTGTTCAAGTTGCGAGGTGGGGACTCCATGGCTCGGACTTGCTTGTCCAACATCTTGAACCCTATTTCATGTTCCTCAAACCATTCCTGAACATTTTTTGCAGTGTGACAGGGTGTATTATCCTGCTGGAAAAGGCCACTGCCATCGGGGAATACCGTTACCATGAAGGGGTGTACTTGGTCTGCAAGCATGTGTAGGCAGGTGATACGTGTCAAAGTACTGTAACATCCATATCATGCCAGGACCCAAGGTTTCCCAGCAGAACATTGCCCAGAGCATCACACTGCCTCTGTTGGCTTGCCTTCTTCCCATAGTGCATCCTGGTGCCATCTCTTCCCCAGGGAAATGACGCACACACACCCAGCCATCCACATTATGTAACAGAAAATGTGATTCATCAGACCAGGCCACCTTCATCCATCTTGCTCCGTGGCCCAGTTCTGACTCTCACATGCTCATTGCAGGTGCTTTTGGTGGTGGACAGGGGTCAGCATGGGCACTCTGACCGGACTGCGGCTACGCAGCTCCATACTCAGCAAGCCGTGGTGTAGCATGTGATCTACTTTTAACATTAAGGATAAGGTATGTGTTTGTGGGAAAAATGTCCAAATATATACTAATGCAAAACATCATTAAATTAAATAATCTAGCTTTATTGTAGTTTATGATATTTTTTAACCATTTTAGAACACTATCCATATAATAAATTACCTTTACACAACCACCCAGTGGCTGGCATAGGCTAAAATCATATCTATATCGCAAGTAATTCCAGTTACTAAATAACAGATCAGTGTACTTTGATGCCAAGTCAGTTAGACTTTGATGTTAAATGAATCCCCACATAGCATGTACAATCAACCATAATTAGTCACTGAAACTGAGAAGTCAAATATAAAAATAGAGGAAGCCTCTAAGATTGTCAAGGAAAGACCTTCAGAAGACTTGTGACACCACTAGATGAAAAAGAAATCATCTTCACATTCAGCCCATGCCCAAACCAGCATTTTATCTCACCAACTATTTAGCTGTGCAGCTTGAGAATCAGGATTCACTGATAAAGTTCAGAGGTTAGCATCAATTTCAGAAGTCGGTGAGGAGGGATGAAAGCAGGGTTTCATTTAATTTTTTTTTACTTCATCCCACTTTCTGCCTCATAGCTTTTACTGACTTCCTTGTTTCATGGCAGTGGGAGTATCTCAAAACAATGCCCTTGCCAACTACTTCTCCCAGTATGATGTAAAAAGGGAGGCTGGGACACTGGAATACAGGAGTCACGGTCGTGTAAAAATAGCTGGCTCACATAATGATTGTTATGACAATGACCTCCTATTTAACCCCATAGACAGCTTATGTCTCTCGGCTGAAGGTAAATTTAAAATCTGAAAACCTGTGTAAAATAGTCTTATTTCCTCTCACTGGTCCTGAAGAACATGACAAGCTTTTTTTTCTTTTTTTTTCCTAGCAGCATCCTGTCTAGGACGTTCCCCTGTCTAAGACGTTCCCCTGTCTCGGACGTTCCCCTGTCTCGGAAGTTCCCCTGTCTATGACGTTCCCTATGACGTTCCCTGTGTAAAATGTTCCCTGACTAAGATCTTCAATGTCGATGATGTTCCCTGTCTATGACATTCCCTGTCTATGACGTTCCCTGTCTATGATGTTCCCTATGTAAAATGTTCCCTGACTAAGATCTTCAATGTCGATTATGTTCCCTGTCGATGATGTTCCCTGTCTATGGCGTTCCCTGTCTAGGATGTTTCCTGTCTTTGATGTTCCCTGTCTATGACGTTCCCTGTCTAGGATGTTTCCTGTCTTTGATGTTCCCTGTCTTTGATGTTCCCTGTCTATGACGTTCCCTGTCTAGGATGTTTCCTGTGTTTGACGTTCCCGGTCTAGGATGTTTCCTGTCTTTGATGTTCCCTGTCTAGGATGTTTCCTGTCTTTGATGTTCCCTATCTCAGAAGTTTCCTCTCTGTGATGTTCCCAGTCTAAGTTATTCCCTCTCTAGGATCTTCCTTTCTATAATGTTTCCTGTCTAGCCTGTTTCCTGCCTCCTGCCCAATGTTTCTGTGGATACGGCTCTAAGCTCACCATAACCCTGCACTGCATATGTAAATATGAAAGATGAGAGGATGGACTAATGAGTTTTATGCATGATTTCCAATATATCCAGATTATAGGAAAATTACAGTGTACAGTATATGCTGCCAAAACAATAAAATAAAAATGTATTTAAATAACTGAATGTAACATGTATAAAAATAACAGACAATAAGAACAATACAACAATTTTCTTACATATAAAACACAGTAACAGGTAATTTAAATTGGTTGAATTACTGCACATAAAAAAAAATCATGCCTAAGAATCCCCACCAGAGGGCACTAATTCTGTTTTGCTACCAAAATCCATCCATCCATTCAATTATTCATATGACCATCCATCCATCCATCCACCTTATAATTACTGTCTGGATCAGGGGCTCGGGAGTGGGGGGATTAGCTCAGGCAGCATAGGGCAGAAGCTTGCAATGCTCCCTGGATGACTGTCGCAGGGCAAATTCACGCCCGCATATGATCCGACACTATGACCAAGTTACACTGCAAGCCTTTAAATTACAGGAGGAAACTCAATAACCCAGAGGAAAGCTGCTTGACAGAGGGAGAACATGAGGACTCCACACACGAGAGCTGAGCTGGGATGGTGACCCAGGAGGTGGCTCTGCTACCCAACCTGCAAAGGTGACGTATTCAAACTAGAAGTGGACTGAAAGATCAGCAATTAAAAATCAGTGTTATTCTTTTAGACAATTCTTTTAAATGCTTCAATGTGGGATTCTCCCCATGTCGTCTGGGGTTTCCTCTCCTCTCACAGTCCCGAAACATGCTAAGATGATTTGGATTGTCCAAATTGTCCGTAAGTGTGAATGTGTGCGTGAATGGTGAGTGTGCCCTGCCATGGATTGGCACCTCGTCCTGGGTTATTTATTCCCTACCTTGTGTCCGGAAGAGGCTCACCCGAAACCCAAAAATGGACAAGCAGAATACAAAATGAATGAATGGTTAAATTACAGAAAGGTATAAAAAGCAAACAAATGAAGAGTGTTAAAGGGAAGCATACGAATCGAGGTCCACGCTGGCAGCTGACCACTGATCCCTACATAAGCTCCATGTCCTGTGGGTCAGACTTGACTAGTTATCAGCAAAGCATCTCCACGCAATGTTAAACTCTCATCTTTTCCATCCATTAATTGTCACTAGGTATTACAGCAACCCATAAAATGACTAAGCATAACATTGTTATGAAAACGGGCTATTACACACTTTCTATGAACCCAGTGTTATCAGTCACATAAGTCCTCTCTCATTTCTCATTCGTACAAATAGCATGGACTGGGTGTCGCTATGGAAATACCCCGACATCTCCACTCCACGCCGACAGCATAACTGCCACGACCAAACCGCCCACTCAGGAAGTGACCTTGCTGAGTAGAGGAAGCTCCAACCATACCGTTAGCTGAAGTACACCGAAAATCAGGCAATAGTGGGGATTCCTCTGGCTGCTCGGTGGGTGACTGACGTAAAAATCATAGGCGGTCAAGAACTGGGGATGCAAAGTTCAAAAATAACTCTTATTCTTCGATATCAGTCACCAATACCTTCCTATGATAGCAATGAGATGTGAATAAAATGATCATGCTTAAAGCTGGGAACTATTTTTAAAAAAAAGCTTTCAATTCAACATAAAGTGGGGGGGGGGGGGGGTAATGAAAAACATGTATCAAGATGTTAGAGTTATATATAGTTTTTTTATAATTATATTTTTGCCTATGCAATATTATGCGTTTCCCCCAGCAGCCCAGCGCAAACACTGGCACGTAAGAACATGAATGCGAGTCCTGTCGAGCCAACAAGCCAG